TTTCCAGACCTACCCACAGATCCCCAGGGGGAACGCATAGCTTAGGTTTAGGTAAAACTGACAGCAGAGGCTGGGCTTGAGCAGCAGGGCCCTCTGGCTCCAGCCAAAGCACTGGTCTCTTTCTGGGGATAGTTCTGAGGATGATGCAGAAGTGCAGTGTGAGAGGACAGCACACTGCCCAGCAGAACGGAAGCTGCTCTTCTTCACGTTCACCTCCTTGTGGAAACAGAAATCTGTTTACACCCAGGATACTCTTGAAACAAATGTTTCACTTCCAGGCTCATAAAAAACAGATTCAGGAAAGGAGCATGTTTTAGAGTTTATGGTATTTGCCAGGTTATTTATGCTGACCCTAATTCTACTCAAAAGCTTGGGTAGAGAGCCCCGCAAAGGTCATTGAATCCACCTGAGTGACTTTTGTTTCTCAGTGTGATTTTGAAGACATTTTCTCTCCATCCTTACTGGAGTTCCTGCGCGCACGCTATTCATTCATCATCTGAGGTTGTTATTATCCTCTCCTCTCCGCCTTGAGATTGGGGAGGCTCTGGGAGTGATTACGCTGTTGTAAATCAGCTTTTATGATTTGTATGTCAGAGATAAGCAGCAGAGAAAGCAGCGCTTGAAGGACCCAGCTCCTCCTGCCCTAGCAATTATGCCAGCAATGAAATTAAAAGGAAAAATTACTGGAGAGCATAATACTTGGCAGAATAGCTTCTCTATAGTCGTATCCAGTGTTAAAATTGAGCTCTTTAACCAACATTGACTCATTTTTACACTCCCTTTTATTTTAGGTGCAAGATACATGAAGTAAAGCAAACAAATATAAAAACGACACTTCATTGAGTTTTTACATGTGTACCCTTTCATAACCACCATGCGCAGCTCCCCTAGAACAATTCCAGTGCCCTAGAAGCTTCCTTTGTGCCCCTCCCACTTCCCTGAGCTCTGTCACCACAGACCCTGTTCTTGAACTTCATATAAGTGGATCCTGCAGCGTATATTTTTGTGTGTGTCTTCAGGCATTTGCTCTGAGATACCTCTAGGTCATCATGTATAGTAATTCATTCTCATTATTGCATAATATTCCATTATGTCAGGGTGTCTCAACTGTGACACTGTTGACATTTTAGGCTGGAGAATTCTGTAGTGGGGAAAGAGGGAAGCTTTCCCAGGTGTCGTGTGTGCAGCAGCATCTCTGGTCTCTACCTACTGGATGGCTGTCATTCCATTTCCCCATTGTAACAACCAGAAACATCTCCAGGAATTTCTAAATTTCCCCTGGAGTTGAAAACCATTGCATCCTATAAATATGCATAATTTTTAAAGAAGTAATTTTAAAGAAGCTTTTTGTTTGGAAATCATTTCAAACTTACTGGAAAGCTGCATAACTAGAACACCCAGTACCTGTAATGTTTTCTTCAACTACTGTGAACATTCTGCCCTCATGTTGGTTCTCATGTGTTCACACACGAACATGTGCGAGAGCACAATTTACCTCTGAACCATTTAAAGGTTGCCTCATCTGGGCCATTTACCACCATGCCTTTCTGTGTATATTTCCTAAGAATCTTCTCCCACATTATCACAATCATCGATTAACCACAGTAAATTTACATAATGCTTTTATCTATTGCCAATGTTCTAGTTTCTTCAATTGGCCAAAAATTATCCCTTATAGCACTGATTTTCCCTGCAGAGCAGGTTCCAGTTCAGGATCAGGCATTTTGTGTACTGGCCTTTTTCTTTAGTATCCTTTAATCTAGAATTATTACATCAGCCTTTTTTTTTCTTTTGTCTTAAGACTACCATCTCTTTTTTTCTTTTCTTTTTTTTTT